ACAGGTCCTGTGGAGCACACTCGTATTTGACGAGGTACAGTTGCCACCCTGAAGAATTAATTTTTTTTTTGTCTTTTTTTTTTTTTTTTTTTTTTTATTCATCAGTACTGTACTGGCAATTGCTGGAGAAGATTTTTCCATTGTTGCTTCAGACACTCGGTTGAGTGAAGGGTTTTCAATTCATACCCGAGATAGCCCCAAATGTTATAAACTGTAAGTAAATCAATCTTTCTTTTTTCTTTCTAAGATTTACTTTATGTGTGTGCATGTTTTGTCTGTATGACACCATGTGTGTGCAGTGTCCACAGAGGTCAGAAGAGGGCACTGGATCCCCTGCAGTTATAGTTGGTTGTTAGCTCCCATGTGGATACTGTGAGTTTAACCCACCCAGGTCCTCTGGAAGAACAGCCAGTGCTCTTAACCATCCATTGAGCCATCCCTAACCCATGAATAAATATTTCTAAAGACACACTCACTTGCCTTTGTAGTGCAGTGGGAAGGCGCAGGGCTGATCACAAAACTGTTAAACTTGAAGTAGAAGAGGACCCAACAAGGCTTGGGTTCTTTGCTAGACATTTAAGGTGATGTGGAGTAGAAAATAAGGAAGGCAGCCTTGCCATGTTTCAGTCCTAGGCATGGCCCATATCTTTCCATAAAAGGCAATGAAGTTTGTCTTGTCTTCCCAGTTCCCAGCTACCCAAATTTTCTATCTCATTGACTGTTCTTCCATAAGGAGATTAGAATTAGACTTTAGTCATATGTTCATATATTTTTAACTTCATTTTTTCTGTAGAAGTAGTCAGATTTATGAAACTTCTCTATGACCCTTGGGCTACATCCTACTTCACCTTTCCCAGCCCTAGATTGTAAAACAGTCACCTTTACTTTCTTTAGCCTATTAATAGTATATTTTTGGCTCATCTAAAATTAATTTGGTGTAAGGAGATGTTGGTATGTAGACTCCCATGCTGCAGAAATGTAAATAAATAGAGATAGTCCTTTTCTGAACTCAATTTGTTTGTAGGACTACTATCTATACCTGGTCTCCAAGAGACAAACATGTTGCTTTGTAATACCAGTGCCCTGCTTTATCAACTGATTTCCCTGAAATTGGCTTTTTACAGAACAGACAAAACAGTCATTGGCTGCAGTGGTTTTCATGGAGATTGTCTCACTCTGACAAAGATTATTGAAGCAAGATTAAAGGTAGGTGCTTTTGTACATGTCTGCCCTGTTGGAACAATTCATAAGATTCTTGTGAGCCTCAGTATGACTTGGATTAGAGAGATAGCAAGTTAGCAGGTGGAGTTAGCCTAGCCTAGAAATAAGGCAACACCGCCACTGGCTGTTAGGGTCACACAAATGACAGGAAACAGCAGCACATCTAGTCTCTTTAAACCTCTGTGCCTTGTCAGGGTTGTCTATTTTCTGGAGGTAGCCTGAGGGCTCTTTTGAAGCTTCTCTTTCTGAAGTGTATCATGTCTGGCTGTGGCAGAAAATAGCCCAGGCAGCCTATTGACAGGAGCATGATTTGGAACTGTCTGCTGACCTTTCCTTCTTCACACGTTTCCACACTAGTAGACAACACAAGAAAGGAAAAAATAATCTCTGGAGCATTGATGAAGGAAGGGCAGCAGCCTATCATCATCTGGCAGTCTTCAATAGAAATCACCAAGGGATGATGTGATAGGAACATGTTAGCAGGGATGACTACATTCTCTGTTGCCTGTTTGGGTCAGTTAAGAGATACATCACATATCACAAAACATTTATAAAACTTATCTGTGGGGCTGTATAGAAATTATTTCACTGTATATTTTAGAACATCTAGTATTCGAAAGCTTCAGAAATTTACATTTATTAGCAGATACATGCCTTCTAATTGATACTTTACTATAACTTATCTTAGAAATTCATCTGTATTTGTCTGCTTTTTGTCATATAGCTTACTTGTAATTGTTCAGTGTTTTGACCTTGATTTACAGTACTTAGGCTTTGCTTTAGAAATGCTTGCTCTGTGGCTAACAGAAAATGGTGAACTTGGCCAGGAATGGTGGCACAGGTCTTTAATCCCAGCACTCTGAAGACAGAGGCAGGTGAATCTCTGAGGCCAGCCTGGTCTACAAAGCTAGTTCCAGGACAGCCAAGATTGTTACATAGAGAAAACATGTAAAAAACAATAACAAAAATTGTGACCTTAAATCCATTTTATGCTTATAATTTTTGTAGGTAATTTGAAGTTTATAAGGATTTAGTATATCAGGATTATGAAATTCCTGTATTGTCATCCTAAGATCTTTTTTAACCTAATTATTCCATTTATTTATTTTATGTGTATGGATGTTTGGTCTACACGTATGTACACCATGGGTATGCCTGGTACTCAAGGAGCTCAAAAATGGTGCCAGATCCCTTGGAACTGTCTGTGAACATTTGTAAGCTACCATGTAGGTACTGGGACTCAAACCCAGGTCTTTGTAAGAGCAGCAAGTGCTCTTAACTCTGCTGAGCCATCTTGCCATTCCAGTCCCTATGATCATGTTGTTTTTGTTTTTGTTTTTGAGACAGTTTCTCTGTGTAGCTTTGGAGCCTATCCTGGAACTCACTCTGTAGACCAAGCTGGCCTCGAACTCTCAGAAATCCACCTGCCTCTGCCTCCTGAGTGCTGGATTAAAGGTGTGTGCCACCACCGCCCGGCTATGATCATATTTTTGAGACCGTTTTTCTTGTTAGACACTGAGAAACAAGACTGTTAACCTTCGACGATGTGTTTGTCTAAGAGTTTACAAAGAGTGGGACCCAAATGATTCAGTCCACTGAATTTTTGTTTGTTTGTAAGAGATCATAAATATTTTAGGTCTCAAGGGCTATCTCATTTCTGTCACAACTACCCTATTTTGCTGTTGGATTGAGAAGGCAGCATAAACAACATGGCTATATTCCAGGACATTTTTACTTAGAAGAGCAGCTAGTAGGTCAAGTTTGGCTGCTGGTGTTGACACCATTGGAGTACACAGTGCAGTAATGAGATGCATTTGCAGCATGTTCCCCAGGCTCAACTTACATGCCCTGTTCATTACATTGTTGTTGAATTAGTAGTGGCCGAAATAAAGAGAGTAGGGTAAACAGCCTCTTTAAACCAGCATTCTTGACATCCTTCCCTTAAAAATCTTTGTTTGTCTGTTTTGAGACAGGGTTAGTATGTAGTCCTGGCTTCCTGGATCTTGATGTGTAGACTAGCCTGGCCTCAAACTCATAGAGGTCCTTCTGCCTCTGCCTCCATGAGTGCTGGGACAACTAAAATAGGGAGCCAACTACACACCAGAATAATAGTTCTACCACAGTCTTACCTTGTGAACCAATGAGTTTATTGGGGTTGTTACATGTTAACCACCTCAAATATATGTAATAAGCTGTGATTTTATGTTAGTAATACTATGTTATTTAGTCATTAAAGAAAAAAGCTTTTGTGTTTCACTAAGGAATGCTGATATTGTGTACTGGTTGTCGTTGAAGTTTGACAGGCTCTGACTCTGCTTTTCTGTCCCCCCACCCACATGAAGATGTATAAGCATTCCAACAACAAGGCCATGACAACCGGGGCCATTGCTGCAATGCTGTCTACCATCCTGTACTCGAGGCGCTTCTTCCCTTACTATGTTTACAACATCATCGGTGGACTTGATGAAGAAGGTAGCATGTTGCTTTCTGGCAAATGCTCAAGTGTTATTTCATAAATGTGTGTGCTTCTGCTTGGAGTGGAGCTATCTAGCCCAGCAGCTTTGTATTCTGATCATGAAAGTAGAAGAAACTAAATCTAAAAGGGATAAATAACACCCAGGGACATACCGCGAGTACTGTATATGGTGCCGGGTGAGCTGTCGGGTATCTGGAATGTGTTGATAGTTATTAGCTTTTATCTTAGAGATTTGACCTACAGAACTTGACGTGTGGTGACACAATAGACATAGTGAATTCAAATAGTTCTTAAAAAGGAACTTCTGAGGCTGGAAGAACTTGTGGTTAAGGACCTGAATTTGGTTCCCAGCACCAACATGGTGGTTCACAACACAAATTTTAACTCCAGTTTAGGGGATCTGGTGCCCTCTTCTGACCTGCATGTTTCGGGTAAGCATGTGATACTCAAACTGTTGTGTAACAGACTTTTCCTGCGGAGACATAATCCATACACACTACTCACCTTAGATAGGTAGCCCACAGTAGACCAAAGTATGGATACCACCATAGTCCAACTTGGTGAGCTAATGAATTTTATTGGGGTTACTTACAGGACTGTAGGTAAGGGGTTACTTAGAGGAGCAGAAATGGCTTAAAGACAGCTGCATCACAAAAGCTGGAAACCTGGAGCACACCGTACAGCCTTTGGGTAATTTAACAGGTTGGAGAGCGTCCCCTCTAGGTAGTTGAACAATAATGTATTCAAACAGCTCAGCCAATCTCTGCTTCTTTTTTTGCAGCTTGACTTGACTGAAAGTGACTCCCAACACTATTTATTGTTTACTCTTGGGAGAGAAGGGTCTTATAGATTTGATTAGTTTTAGGGACTTCGGCTGTTGAGTTTACCTTCTGTCTTAACTTCCCTATAGGATGGAATGTTTTAATCAGGGAGGAAATGGCTGTACAACACACTCAATACATGCAGGCAAAAGACTTAGACACATAAAATAATCTTTTTTTTAAAGTAATTTCTTAGTCTTTGGAGCTGGACATGGCAATACATGACTATAACCCTAGCACTTGGCAGCTGAAGTAGGATTGATCCTGCATGGGCTATTCATGACTTTATCTCAAGAAACAAGGGTGATTTGGGTTAATTAATACCTGTATTTCCCACAGTGTTCTCAGAATATATATCTTTAGATTTTTCTGTCAGAGTGAGATAGGATATATATATATATATATATATATATATATATATATATATATATATCTTGGTTTTTCGAGACAGGGTTTCTCTGTATAATTTTGGTGGCTGTCCTGGATCTCACTCTGTAGCCCAGGCTGGCCTTGAACTCACAGAGATGCGCCTGGCTCTGCCTCCCGAGTGCTGGGATTAAAGGCGGCGGCCGCCGCCGCCGCCGCCACCGCCGCCGCCACCACCACCACCACCACCACCACCACCACCCAGCAGGATATATTATTTAAGACTTTTCTTAAGCTGGATGTTGAGGCACATCGAATCCCAACACTTAGAGGTGAAGAGTCTCTGATTTGAGGCTAGCCTGCACTACATAGCAAGTTCCAGGACAGCTAGGACTACATAGAGAGATCCTGTCTCAAAAAACAAAACAACTACAAAAGATTTTATGTGTGTCTGTGTATTTGCTTCCCTCTCCTCGTGTTTTTATTAGTTCTTGGAGAACTTTGTATAGTGTATTTCGATCATAGTCACCCATCTTCCCAACTCCTCGCAGGTACACCACCCTCTAATTCTCTGCCCACCCAGCTTCCTGTCTTCTTTGTTTTCACCTCCCCCCTCTCTCTCTCTCTCTCTCTCTCCCCCATCTCACCAACCTGGCCCTGATGTCTCTTCTAAAGTGTTTTCTTTGCCACTGGAACAAGTTCTGTGTCTGTAACCAGTTGATTTGGTCTTTTCAAGGTTTCTCGGATACCCTGGAATTCCCCTTGGTACTTCCTTACTATTTTATCTCTGTCCTTGGGGGATTGTTGCAGTTTTCCCACCTTGTCTCCAAGCTCAGGTGATCTGTTCTCTCCATGATCCATTCTGAAGCTGAGACTTTACACAGAGGTTTTTTTTTTTTTTTTAAATAACTTCTGTGTTTTATTTCTGGCATTCCACATTGTTTTTTCTTCAGTATTTCTGTTCTTTGTTGAATTCCTCTTTCATGTAGCATCACTACCTACTTGATTTCTTTGTTAAGATTTATTTTATATGTGTGATTATCTGCATATATTTATATGTATCACATGTATGTCTGGTGCCTGTAGAGACCCAGAAGAGACCATCAAATCCTGGAACTAGAGGCACAGAGTGTGAGCAACCATGTGGTGTTGGAAAACAAACTCAGAGCAGCAAGTGATGAGCTCTTTCCAACCAGAACCCCTTCCTTATTTTATTTAACTGTACCTTTGGACATACTTACTATTCTGAATTTTCTGTTTGGAATTTCATCTAACCCACTCTGATGAGATGTGACTGCTATAGGGTTTATATTTTTTTTGGAGTTGTGTTGGTTTTTCTAGTCTCTTGTTACTGCATTGTGATTTGCACGTCTGGTATATTTTGTGATTTTTGTTTGTTTGTTTGAAAGATATATTCTTTCAGTTGAAATAGTTGCAGTGTTCGGGCGGGACTTAGGTTTGGTAGTTTATAATTTAGAAAGCAATTCCTTCCAGGGGCTCTGGGTTCCTCATGTAAGCTCCATCTCATTCCTGGAGTAGGACACTGATGGGGAGATGAGCTACAGCCATTTGATGTTGCTGCTTGGCAGTTGTCCTATTAGTCCCTTAATAATGGTGTCCTTAGATCTTAATAACTGTTGCAGGATAAATAACCAAGGGCAGTATACGTCATATTTGTTGGATTTTAGTTAATAAGATTAGGAGTAAGGCTGGGTGCCGGTGGCGCATGCCTTTAATCCCAGCACTCAGGAGGCAGAGGCAGGTGGATCTCTGAGTTCAAGGCCAGCTACAGAGCAAGATCAAGGACAGGCACCAAAAACTACACAGAGAAACCCTCTCTCAAAAAACCAAAAAGAAAGAAAGGGAGGGAGGGAGGGAGGGAGGGAGGGAGGGAGGGAGGGAGGGAAGGAAGGAAGGAAGGAAGGAAGGAAGGAAAGAGATTAGGAGTGAGAGAGAAGTAGGGTCAGTAAGGATAAGGATTAAGTATGAGGTCAATTTGAAAAGAAAAAGAATTTAAGATGGGTGAAGTAGCTAGGAGAGGAAAGCATGATACCATTAAGGTCTACAGATTTTAGAGATTGTCTAAGTTACGGAAATTTGTGATTAAGTAAAAAGAGAAAGGTCAAGGATGAGAAGATGTAGGAGTAAAATAGGAGGGTATATGAGCTGTGGCTGAAGAGTAAAAAATTGCCTTTGTAGACTGGGTTATCAAAACCAAGTCTTAAAACCTAACTTACAGCCAGGCAGTGCTGACACACGCCTTTAATCCCAGCACTGAGGAGGCAGAGACAGTCGGATCTCTGAGTTTGAGGCCAGCCTGGTCCACAGAGGGAGTTCCAAGATAGCCAGGGCTACATGGAAAAACCCTATCTCAAAATAACCAAAAATGAAACATGCTAGAGTAGAAATTAAATAAAAACGATAAAATTATACTTGTACAATTAATTGCTGGCACATCTAGGCTGAGTTGAAAGCTGAAACTCTCAAATACATCTGGCTACAATACATCCCCTACTGTACTGTAATGTGGCAAGTCGGAGCTTGTGACTGATTTGTTGGGGACTGGGAGTTTTGTTTTGCTTTTTAAGGGGGTCTTTCCCAGTCTGTAGCCCAGGTTGACATTAAATTTGTTGTGATCCTCCTACCTCAACTTCTCACCTGATGAGGTTACAGACAGGAGTCACCACACTTGGCTCCACATTTTTAAAAGACCTCTTCTAGGGGCTGGAGAGATGGCATAGCAGTTAAGAGTGCTTGCTACTCTTTTAAAGGACCCGGGTTCAGTTCCTAACACCAATATGACACCTCACAAAGTCTGCAGTTTCAGTTCCAAGGGAATCCCATGGCTTCTTTTGGCCTCTTCGGGCATGCACTATCATACACTTTCGGGCATACAGACAAAACACTCAGACTTTTTTTTTGAAGACCTTTTCTAAAATTCTAGTGATATATTCTTTGATATAAACTCAAGCAGTACATAGGCATATGGTACCTTCAGCTTTCCTCAAAGGTAGCCAGTTACAGGTAACAATATGCACACTCACCTGCAAGGTCATGCATTTTACTAAGAATGACCTCTGCCTGATTCATTTATTTAAATTTTTTGTTTGTTTTTCCAGACAGGGTTTCTCTGTGTAGTTTTGGAGCCTGTCCTGGATCTCGCTCCCGAGTGCTAGGATTAAAGGCATGCGCCACCGACGCTTGGCGACCTCTGTCTGTTTTAAAATTACTTTTTTGGGCAGGGAGTGTTTGCCATGGTGCAGATGTCAGGACAGCCTGCCAGCAGGTTCTGGGGATCAAATTCAAGTCAACAAACTGCAGCGAGTGCCATCACTCTCTGTTCCATCTTTCTGGCCCTGACCGGTCTTAGCAACATGTTAACTCATTTTAAGCATATTAACTTGTTTAGTAACTGAAACCAACAGCCTGACCAGACAAGTTATAACAGGTGGAGCAGTCTGACTCCAAGAGTTGCTTTCTCTAGCTTTTTTGATTTTTTTTTTTTTCAATTTCTTTTTGTGTGTGTGTTGTTGTTTTAGTTTTTCAAGACAGGGCTTCTCTGTTTAGCAGCTCTGGCTGTCCTGGAACTCCCTCTGTAGATGTGGCTGGCCTTGAACTCACAGAGATACATCTGCCTGTTGCCACCATTGTTTGGCTTTTTTCCCCCTCCCTCCCTCTCTTCCATAATACTGTGCTTCTGTTGTGAATGAATGCTACCTTTCTAATAAGTTTTAAGATGCCTGTAATTTTTTGCTATCTTGAATATAACAAAGATACCTACTTTACTTATTAAACTTATTAAAAACAAATAATGAATAGTTTCAGTGTTTTACAAAGAAACACACAAAGTCAAAGTATCTTGGCAAGACGATTCTGTTTGCAAAAGATGCACCAGAATCCAAACCAGGCTGGAAACACAGCAGGGCCAGCATGGCTCCCGTTTTTATGACTGGTGACTGCCCCTCAGCCCACTGGTGGGAACTCAGCCTCACTCTCTGACACAGTTGGCTAGTGGGCGTGAAGGTGAAGATTCAGGAAAATGAGTCCTTATCAGTCTACCTGTGGTTTAATTTTTTTCTTACACATGCATGAAATTAGTATGTGTTCAAATTTTTTAGGATAAATCCTGTTCTGCATATGAAATTATGTCATGGGCATGGGTTTCTTTGCATCACACAGATACTAATGGCAAATTGCTTTTCCAAAAGACATAATTTGATTTCAGTGGAATATACAAGGATCACTTTTCTTGTGTTTCTCTTTTTCTTTTCTTTTTGTTTTTTCAGAGCTGAGGCAAGCACTCTACCACTGAGCTAAATCCCCAGTCCCTTGTGTTTCTCTTAAAAAAAAAAAAAAAAAAAGTACTTGGACTGGAGAGATGATTTAGCATTTAGAGTATTTGTTTTCCTTCCAGAGGACCTGAGTTTGGACCCCAGCACACACACTGGCCAGCTTACAGTTGCCTGTAACTCCATCCCCAAGGAATCACTTGGCCTTCACAGACACTTATACATAGGATATGGACATTTACGTGAATATGCACATAAATAAAATAATCTCTAATTTTTTAGTTATTCCTTATCATTCCAGTAATTCAAAGCAAGCTGTAAAATTTTGGGCCAAACAAAGCTCTTACTGGCATCATTTGTATTTTGCTAAAACCCTTCCTTTATTAAATATTTTAAAAAATTAAGTATTACTATTAAATTGGGTTTGGTGGTATTTGACTGAGGGTGGTTCTCATCCTGTACCTGAGTCTGGTGATGAATTCACTATCCTCCTACTTTAACCTAAACCGTGGTGTCTTAGGGTCTCAATGCTGCAGTGAAACACCATGACTAAAAAGTGAGTTGGGTAGGAAAGGGTTTATTTAGCTAACACTTGTCATTGAAGGAAGTTAGGACAGAACTCAAACAAGGCAAGAACTTAGCGGCAGGAGCTGATGTAGAGAACATGGAGGTGTGTTGTGTAGCATGATTCTTTTTGGTTTTTTGAGAGAGGGTTTCTCTGTGTAGCTTTGCACCTTTCCTGGAACTCCCTCTGTAGACCAGGCTGGCCTCGAACTCCCTGAGATCCATCCACCTGCCTCTGCCTCCCGAGTGCTGGGATTAAAGGCGTGCACCACCACCGCCCGGCGTGTAGCATGATTCTTAAAAGTTCTTATTAATAAAATCAAGCCTGAGGCCAGTTATTGGGGTTTACACTGGAAGATCAGAGACAGAACAAGCCACAGCTACCTCACCTTGCCAGTTCCTCAGCTGATGCTTTTTCCTCAGACTGGAAGCCTCTGAGTCCTCATCCAGAATGGGTCTCAGCTGAACTGCTGCTAGAAGCCTGAAAGCTTAACCAGCCAAATGCTTCTAGTTTCTGGTCCTCACACCTTATATACCTTTCTGCTTTCTGCCATCACTCCCTGAGATTAAAAGCTTGCTTTCTGGGGATTAAAGGCGTGTGTCACCATGCTTGGCTGTATCCTTGAACACATGGATTTCTGCCTCTGGAATGCTAGGATTAAAGGCGTGAGTGCCACCATTTTCTAGCCTCTGTATCTAGTGGCTGTCTGTTCTCTGACCCCAGATAAATTTATTAGGGTGCACAATATTTTGGGGAACACAATACCACCACAGTGTTGCTTGCTGGTTTGTTCTTCATGACTTGCTCAGACTGTTTTCTTACAGAACCCAGGACCACCAGCCCAGGGATGGCCCCACCCACAATGGGCTGGGCCCTTGTGCATCAATCACTAATTAAGAAAATGCTCTATAGGCTTGCCTACAGCCCAAACTTATGGAGGCATTTTCTCATTTGAGATTCCCTCCTCTCTGATGACTCTAGCTTGTGTCAAGTTTACATAAAATGTCAACTTTTAGCTGGCACACATAATTTTTACAGTACGCTGTTAAAGAGTATGTTTACTTAATAGTAAAAAGATATACACAGTGAGTTTCTGGTATTTTTACTTACATTTAGCGTTAAGAAAAGTTTAAGTTATCAGGTCTATGCTGCACCTACACAAGCTTATTTGTTAGAAGTAGTATGAAGATTTTGGGTAGAACTTGAAATAAGGCCTGTGATCATTACCTGCTGTGTCTGAATGGTGTGCTTGTTCAGGGCCATGAGATGGTTGCCAGGGACCTTAGTTCTAGGCAAGTTGGCCACAGTGTTGGGGCATCAAGATGTGAACTTACCCATTACATAAAGAATAGCGTGCTGGGGTCCACTGCACAATAGTAAACATATTCTGACTTTTGCCAAAGGTTTAGCCAAGTCATTAGCATTCTGTATCATGTTTTGACTATGTCTTTTCACGGTATTAAGTGTACTTTTTCTTCTTTAAGGAAAGGGAGCTGTGTATAGCTTTGACCCAGTGGGCTCCTATCAGAGAGACTCCTTCAAGGCTGGAGGCTCAGCAAGTGCCATGCTACAGCCTCTGCTTGACAACCAGGTAATATGCTTGTGCCTCTGCCTGTGCCAGCGAAGCCAGCTATGGGGGCCTCCAGCTTCTGCACTCTGCTGAGATGCTGCTAAGGTCTTCTAACTGGTTTTCCTTACCAGACCATTTTTTTTCTCTGTTCTGCTGGTACCCTTTGGTCTTCACCTGCCCCGTGGCCTTACGGACTCTTTCTCTGCAGTCACTGGTCATGTCTTCGGTTTTCTCCATGCTATCTTTACCTGACATCACATAAGTGACTCTTCCGTTACCCTGTTTCTGAGCTGTAGTCTGTCTCCCATCTAAACTTTCTATTTATGCATCTTTTTTTTTTCATACTGCCTCAATTCAGACCTATGTTTATTGGGTTTTCTTCCCCAAATTCTTTCATCCTCCAAGCTCAATTATCTAGTTGATGCTGCTCATGGTTCCTATGCCTTGCCCTCTGCTGTTGGTTTGTCCGTCTCACTTACACCACACCCAGCCTCTGCTTTGTCCTGAACCGATGTCATCTCCTGTCTGATCCACACTTCAGTCGGGTGTTGGATGCTCTTCAATTTCAGTGCCTTCTAGTTTTGTTTCTGCTGCCGTCGTTGTAAAAGTACCGTGACCAAAAGCAACTTAGGGAGGAAAGAGTTTATTTCAGTTTACCTGCTTGTATTCTAGATGGAGGGAAGTTGGGGTAAGAACCTGGAGGCCATGGAGGAATGTTGTTTACAGCTTGTTCCCAGGGCTTGCTCAACCAGCTTGCTTATACAGCCAAGGACCACTTGCCCACAGTGGGCTGGGTCCTCCCACATCAGTCATTAATCTAGAAAATGTCCCACAGACTTGCTACAGGTCCGTCTGATGGAGGTATTTTTTCAGCTGAAGCCCCCTCTTCTCATATAACCCTGCCCCACCCTGCCCGGGTTCTTCTGATGAAGCTGCCTACTAACAGATTTACCTAATGGCCATTCGGGGCTGTCTTGGCACGCCCTCTCCCCTTTCCTATGATTTTTTTTTTTAAAGTGTCTGTTTCTAGCTCAGTGTGTTTGTGCTTTAGAGAAGTTGGGGGCTTTGCAACATTTCTATTGTGTTTAAAATGGGACTAGAATATCCTTAGTCTGAAAGACATCCTAATGTAACCTGATACATCCAGTACAGATCCTGGGATGTGGGAGGTTGGGACCTTCCTTAGGTCTTGAGGTCACATGATGCTTCATATGAGTTTCTGTTTCTCCAGGTTGGTTTCAAAAATATGCAGAATGTGGAACATGTCCCCCTGTCTTTGGACAGAGCCATGAGGCTGGTGAAAGATGTCTTTATTTCTGCAGCTGAAAGGGACGTGTACACTGGCGATGCCCTCAGGATCTGCATTGTGACCAAAGAGGGTATCAGGGAGGAGACTGTTCCCCTGAGGAAAGACTGATTGTGGCCTATATATGGGAGCTGTGGCACAAGTTTGTTTTATTAAAAAGAAATGTAAAGTACTCGTTTTCTTACAGTGTGGCTTCTCTAAGTATGACAAATTGGGAAGAATTTCTTCCTTTGGGGCTGAAGAGATGACTCATCAGTTAAGAAAGTATGGCTCTTATAGAGGACCTAAGTTTGATTCCAGACACCCACCTGTAACTCTAATTCCAGGGGATACAGTGCCCCCTTCTGTCCTCAACAGGCACATGCACATAAGTATATGTAATAAAAAATAAAATCTTTAATAAAAAATTTCTTTTTATCTGGGTATGTTTATGTATTTATTTATTTTAAGATTTATGTTACATTATATGTATGTGCTTATGTGAATATATGCCACATGTATGTAGGTACTTGTAGAAGCCAGAAGAGGGTGTCAGTTTTCCTGGAGCTAGAGTTGCAAGTGGTTATGAGCTGTCAGATGTGTGCTGTGATCCAGACTTGGGTCATCTGGGAGAGCCACACATTCAACTACTGAGCCATCTCTAGTTCTAAAGAATGAAGAAAACGGGACTAGGGAGGTGGGTTTTGTTTGGTTTGGGATTTGGTTTTTCTCAAGACAGGGTTTCTCTGTATATTCCTGGCTGTCCTGGAACTCGCTCTGTAGACAGGCTGGCCTCAAATGCACAGAGAGATCCGCCTGCCTCTGCCTCCCAAGTGCTGGGATTAAAGGCGTGTGCCACCACCACCCGGCAAAGAAATTTTGTTTTTGTTTTTTGAGACAGGGTTTCTCTGTAGTTTTGGTTCCTGTTCTGGATCTCGCTCTGTAGACCAGGCTGGCCTCGAACTCACAGAGATTCGCCTGGCTCTGCCTCCCGAGTGCTGGGATTAAAGGAGTGCACCACCATCGCCCAGTATGGAGTGTTTTTGACAGTTAATATATCTGTGGATGTTTTAAGAAGGAGAAAAAGCCAGACGAATTCCCTTACTGTTATCCCTTCTAAAAAAAACTTCAAATTATCAAAAACTGGGAAATACATAAAGATTCTATGAATACATTTATTACCCTGTGTCTTACAAGCTTTGGAACACAACAGATCTTGGTGCTTGTGTGTTAGGACTCTTAAATAGACAAACGACAAGGGATTTATTAGGGGAGTTGACACAGCTTTCAAAGCCACAGGAGCATTCTCTAGCGTTAACTATGGCATAGCTAGTTCAGTGCAGCTGAACAGGACCCCCAGGGCACCGTTTTTCTGAGACAGCTTTACACTGTAACCCAGGCTAACCTTAAACTTAACAGTGATCTTTCTGCCTCAGCCTCCCAAAGTGCTGTTACAAGTGTGAGCCAAGATATGTGGCTGAGAACCTGAGTTCTGATGACCAGGGGAGAAGGAGAAATGGTTCTGCCTCGGAGAGTGAAATTGCTTCTATTCTCTCTCTATTCCTTCTATCTGTCTGTCTACCTATTTATTTATTTTGAGACAAGATGTCTTATATCCCATATTGGCATCAAACTTTATATGTAGTTGAGGATGACTTTTAACTTCTGTTCCTACCTCTACCTTAAATTTTAAGGACTGGAATTAAAGGTGTTCGCCACCATACTGTTTTTGCTGTGCTTTGCTATACCCAAGGTTTCGTTGTAGCTAGTTTTCCTGCCTGGCCCACAGTCAGGACAAATCTCTGTCACCCGCCAGTCCCACAGCTGCTGCTCAGACCCAACCAAGTTGGGAAACACAGACTTGTATTGCTTACAAACTGTATGGCCATGGCAGGCTTTTTGCTAACTTATATCTTAAATTAACCCTATTTATTAATCTATAAGTTGCCATGTGGCTCGTGGCTTACCCGTACCTTACAGCTCACTTTTCATGGCGGCAGTTGGCAGTGTCTCTGCCTCAGCCTTCTACTTCCCAGAATTCTCTCTCCTTGTCCCGCCTACTTCCTGCCTGGCTACTGGCCAATCAGTGTTTTATTTATTAACCAGTCAGAGCAACACATTTAACATATAGAACATCCCACAGCATTTTGTGTCTCCCAGGTGTAATGACTAATCTTGGTTGTCAACTTGGACTGCATTTGGAATAAATTAAACCCAAGTTGCTGAGTATTACCTGAGCCCACCAAGCCACAAAGTTGGATGTGAATAGCAGCAATCAATTATCAAACAAATGGAGGTGGTTTATGCCTGATCAGGTCCAAGCAGACTAGGGAACAAGCACGTTGTATGAAGTTGCCCAAATATCTTTTCTATTCCTGTTACCTTGTCTTCTGTTCCCAAGCATGGGGTGTGCTTTATGATTGGCTGGCTGAAAAAATTACTCCTGCCTGGTTTTCTGATGGTTCTGCATGCTGTGCAGGCACCACCTAAAAGTAGGCAGCTGCATCATTAGAACCCTGAAAGATACTGGTGAAGGGAAATCCTAACAGTGGGTAGAACTTCAGACAAAGCACATGGTCATACATTTTGCTTGGAAGGAGAAATGGTCAGATGTGCTATTGTATTCATGGGCTGAAGCAAATGGTTTGGCTGGATGGTCAGGGGTTGGAAGGAGCAAGATTAGAAAATTAGTGAGAAAGGCACTGGGGAAGAACTTTTGACTAACTTGGTAACTGAGGTATGTCAATCCAGGATATGGTTTTTGTGTTTTTAAGCTCACCCTGAGAAAGGGACATCTAGTGTAGTCACTTGCTGGCTAATAAAGACTTTCTATTGGCTTGAACCAGTGTTTGAATGGTCTTCTCTAGTGGATACCTCACAACAAATGTGAAGATTGTATTTGTCAGTGTCTTTTTATTCTCTTTAGCTACAGGTTATTTTAACATACTATTTCTGAATCCTTTTGACACGGCCTTGTTGCTGAGGTCCAGAACGTGCTGTCATGTAATTCTTGGAGCTAACTCAACAATTATCTGGATGGCTTTTAATGAAGGCTGCAGATTTACTTTAATCAGCCTCCAAGGGGCTGTTAGAAATGCTGCCTCTGTGTAGAGGATTTTATTCTTGATGCACAGAATGGAAGGGATTGAGAGAACCCACTGAAAATTGTTGATGGAAAACCCATTATTTTCTGTAGAGAGTAGTCATGATTGACTCTAATTCCCTCTTCTTTGTCATGAACTAGATGATTTCCTGCCCAGAGATGAAAAGATGGAAAACCTGATGGTTAACTGAGGGAGCTGAGATTCCAAGTGTGGCTGTAACACCTTGGCTTGTATCTGTCCCTCTAATACATCTTAGGCCCACAGCTGTTTGATTTCATCAGTGGTTTTCAACACCCCACAGACACCATTAGTTTGTCTCTCGACTTTTAGATCCCTCTACAAGTATCCTCACTCTGTACCCAACTTTTTTTTACACACCAAGAAATTTTTTATTTTACATGCCAACCACAGATCCCCCTCTCCTCCCATCCTCCCCAAACTCCCCCCCCCCCAGTTCACCCCCCATTCCCTCCAAAAAGGCAAGGCCTCCCATGGGGAGTCAGCAAAGCCTGAGCACCCAACTTCTGTGGCTAGCTGGACTGCTGTTTTGCTAAGTGCTGTGTCACCTTCACTTTTTTAAAAGGTGTGTGTGTGTGTGTGTGTGTACATGTGTGCAGGTGCCCACAGAAGCCAGAAGAGGGTATTGAGCCCCTGGAGTTGGAGTTGTAGACAGTTGTGAGGCACCCAATATGGATGATTAGAACTGAACTCATTCTTAACCTCTGAGCTGTCTCTCCAGCCCCATACTGTTTTCATTCTTAATTCAGTGATTTTAGTGTTGTCTGGCTGCATGTACTGTCCACTGAAACTATATACTCTTTAAGATCCACAAAATATTTTTTCCTTTACTGGTATTCCCCAACTCAACATGTTTTAAGTTTAAGAGTATCAATGAGCTTGACATTTATGTGTTATATTATTAATTAAGTGATATGTTACCTGTTGTGGCTGCCAGTTTCTGGCTGTGTAAGAAACGCTGGTTCTATGTGAAGCTCCAACTCCTTTTCCTGACTTTCTGGTAATTGGCTTAAGTCTGATCTGGGAGGAACTTCTCTTCTGTGGAGAGGTGGCTGCTGTGTCCATGGACAATGACAATTTGTGCTTTCAAGTGTAATAGAATATTATTTTAAGATGTGTTACTTTTGTTTATGTTGCATTTGTTTAACTCTGTGAAGCTGTGTTACTGTACCCGTGTAAAAAACTTTATGGTCTAATAAAGAACTAGCCAATAGCAAGGCAGGAGAAAGGATAGGCTGGGCTAGCAGGCAGAGAGAATATATATAGGAGGAGAAATCTGGGAAGGGAGATTGAGGAGCCAGAGAAGAGAGCTCCAGGGGCCAGCCACCCAGCTACACAGCCAGCTCATGGAGTAAGAGTAAAATTTACAGAAGTAAAGAGAACGGAAAAGCCCAGAGGCAAAAGGTACAGGATAAGTTAAGGAAAGCTGGCAAGAAACTAAGCCAAGCTAAGGCTGGGCATTCATAATTAAGAATAAGCCTCTGTGTGATTTATTTGGGAGCTGGGTGGTGGGCCCCCCAAAAAGAGCAAAAACCTCCCAACAACATTCAGGGTCCTGAGGTAGTCGGGTCAGGAGCCCAGGGTTCATACCTGCACTCTTCCCAAAATCAGTGTATGAGATACTGTTTCACCCACAAGATGGCTATGCATTTGTCTGTTAGCACCAATGTGATCTGTGCACATTTCAAGGTTGCACCTGATGTTCATTTATCCAAAGAAAGGAATAGTCTGTGACTTTGTGGCTGTGAGCACTCTCTCAGACAGGCTTAGCCCCTCTGCTCAGTGGGAGAGTCACATGTGTGTGACTCACTGTAGCATGAGTTCAGCTGCCATGTTTCTTTAAAACAATTGCATTTATTTGTTTATTATTTATGTGGGAGAGTTGTACATATGCCACAGCACACACCATGCATGTGGAGGCAAGGGGATTTTTTTTTCCTGCCTGCTGCCATGTTCAACTTCATGATGAGCATGGACTAAGCCCCAATTAAATGCTTTCTTCTGTAAGAGTTGCCTTGGTTGTGGTGTCTCTTCACAGCATAATAACCCTAACTGAAGCAGAAGAAAATGACTCCTCCCCTAGCAGCCATCAACTGCCAATAGCTGCCTAGAGACATAAGCTCCTCCCCAAACCATGCTCTAAGTTTACAGACCCAGCCTTGTGCCAGCCCTGTACAGCTGTAGCTGCTGTGAGTTCATGAGTGCTCTGACCAGGCCATGCCCAGAAGACAGCATTGCACAGCTGTCCTCATTATCATCCAGCCCTTGCATTCTTTCTGTCCTCTACTATGATGGTTAAACAGACTTGGAGGGGAAGACATT